GAGTACTCTTTACACGTATGCATGGAGTAGTCGCGATTTTTGCAGGGAATATACACTCTTCGTTATTTGAATAGCGCATCCTTTTAATACTTAGAAGGTACAGTTTTCCTTTTGTTTGTTTAATATTCATTAACTTTTTATAAAAATATAGCATATTCTACGTCTACATCCCATTTTAGAAATATTTGAAAATTAAAAAAAAAAAAACATAGGGGCGACAATTTTTTTTTGTTGACGGTGCTGCGCATTTTCTTCCATATAAAAATGTTGTCAAGCATACTTTGTATGGTAGAAAATCAAAAAAAGGGTGCGCTATTTAAATGACGAGGAATGTATATATGTACATAGTATATTTTTGTTATTTTTATACTACGCAATTATATGTAGGTAAATTTTTTGAAAAATTGTCCTGCATTTTCAAAATATTTTTATGGTCACCGTACTTATAGGGGCAGCCGGTAATTGCTCCGTTAATTGCTTGAGTATTACAGCTTTTGTGTTTGTCTTAGAGTGCATACGTTCTTAGTGCGTTTTGAGTTACATCCACCGATATGAAATACTACGAACTGAAAGTGTACGGTTGAGAGCTTCAACCTCTTCTGAGCTGCTGACAAAAAAAGGTTTTTTCGGACCTTTGGTCAAGCAGTGCTCTTAGTTGAAACCGTTCTGCTCGGTGCTCTATTGTCACTATTGCAGTTGGGAGGAGAACTTCTTTTTCTATGGCAATTTGGAGCGAGTTAACATGCGCGGCAATTATGAGCCTTTGTATTGAGAATTTCTTAAGTATTGGACATTTTTTCATAGGATGTGGTGTGTTGCATAAATAGCAAGAAAACACCATTTTGGAATTTGTTGTAAAAACCTTGGTTTTACTGTGGGATTTTATTAGATCAGAAGTCTTGCGTACATGTTTTGGGAGTTTCATTCCACCCTTTCTAATTACGGTTGCCAGATTCTCTATGCGCGAAATCGGTACGTTAGACTTTTTCATGCTAAAAAAATCAGTACTTATCAGTACATTTTTATTCAAAGCTAAATTATGAATGTAAGTAACAGAAAATACTTTAAAGAGTTTTGTTTTTAACAATATTTTGGTATATAAATAAAATATAGTTAATAAAAAATAAAAGTGTTATTCATTTTAACATGAGTGTACACATCATTATACACAGGAGCCAATAAATTGTGACATTTTCGAATAGCAATAATGAGATCATTCCCATTTTAAGTGTTTAAATATACAAAGAATTCTATACATTTCATTTTAAAACTACTTTTAGTTCGAAGTTCACTTTCAAAAATTTTAATTAGAAGCCGGTTTCTCTCTTTGCGCCAGGAAACAAACTTTATTCTTAAGATCCTCTCAGTTGCTTCGTTTGAGCGTGGTATTGAAAAAAAAACCAAATTAAGTATTTTTTCTTACTGTGAAAAAGTACCACTTTTTAAGGACTTCATCTATATTTCCTCATGTCTTAAGTAATTTTTCAACTACGCAAAAACTGTGAAAGACTAAGAATTCGCTAACAAGAGTATCTAACACTATGTCTTGTATGCAAACCTCTTTTACAATGTCAGTAAATTGAGAAAAAGTAAGTTATAGACAAAAGCCATTCGAATATTCAAATTTATTGTTATCAAACTGAAAGTTATTTTCGAGATAATTTAAGCTCATCATATTATCGCAACTGGTACGTAACGACCCGGCGATATGCCCATAAAACGATTGATCTTTTTGTTGTATTAATTTCGTTGGCATATAAACATTATCTAAAACATGTCAACTATAATTAAATTTGTTTGCTGGGTTGGAGCAGCTTCGGCCGATACAGTTAAAAAAGCGAAAAAATTAAATTTTCCTTTTACCCTCCTACGCGTTTCAACGCTCTCGCGTCTTCATCAGGGAGTCTTTATTCGAAAAATAAAAACAAATAAACAATAAACATGATAAGCAAGTAAAATTCGCTGATGCAAAAACAATAAACATAGTTAACGACAATTACTTTACACTAATTCTGACTTTGAACTCACATTTACATAAATGTTATTGGCAAACATTGTTTAACAAACGATAAACGTTAGCACCATTTTAAGTATCTTTTCAACAATATTACCAAATTCGAATCCTATATTCTTATTTATATTTGTTATTGATTACAGCTGCATATACGTTGTTGGTGTTATCTACGTCCTCTTTAAAGTTGATCGCATTCTCAAGTCTTTGTTGTATACGTAGGCTTTCTAATGTCATTCTCCTTTTTACCCCTCTTTCGATGTC